TCTCTCTCTCTCTCTCTCTCTCTCTCTCTCTCACACACACACACACACACACACACACACACACACGTCATTTTGGGGACCTCAAATTGTTCCTCTGGAAAAAAAAGTTGAAAAGAGTTCTGGATTTCTAAAATTTAGCAATACGCTATTAGTTTTAAATCAAAGGACCGTTTACATTTGAGATGCCCAAAAAAGTATAGACATTTAGTGAAAATTACACAAAAGGGAAAGCCTTGGGTAATGAACGGGAGTTTGTATTTTAGTAAAGGGAAAGTGTTTTCTTGAACTGTGAAGCCGTTCTGTTCCCAAGCATAGACCCAATCAATGTGAAGGCAGATGAAAAGGCAATGCTGCAGTGGATGCAGGTAGGCCTATATAGGCTATATCTAAATTGTGACATTTCCGTTCTCATATAAACAACTCATTTTATTTCATTCCATATTACTGTACTGCATTTGATACAGCATTTTGCTGGTGATTTTGTGGCTGTTTAACAGCAGTGATTGTTGAAGATTGTTGTTGAACGCGACATCGCTGCGCCATCTAAGCTATAAGCAACAGTGGGAACTACTGATATAGTTGTAGATCAAAATAATCTTTAAAGGTCTACTTTTGTTTAAACTAAAACTTATTAAAATTTAAGATAACAAAGCCAGTTTGAAAACGACAAATATTTCGGCAAAAAGGTGTATTAGGCCTACCCAAGAAATTCTTGGCCTGCTACCGCATTCGACTAAAGTCGCAATCACGGAGTCGCATCTGGCACAATTCACAATTCTCTCCGCAGCAAATATTTGTCACAAATCAAATGGCCAATATTCCAGGCACCAAAATGGCGCTAGTAAAAATAGCGTGAATTAGTGGATTGGAATTTACATATACATTGTTATAATCGTACGTTCGGTTGTGCTTAAGGTAAGAGTAAGAGACATTTTACTGATGCAACGCATCACGATACTCCACAAGATATATCGGCTCTCTTTCATATGGCACTGGCACTGCAACTGAAGTACTACATGCATTTCTCCCACCAGTTCGACTGAATAACTGGTAATGCGAGTCTTTGCTGTTTGGTATCCGTATTTCGATATAGGCTGGCGTGACTACAAAATATATACGGTTATTACATGCAGTACTATACTGGTTTGAAACTTGAAAGATATAGTGTTCTAATTAAAAAAGTAAAGTTATAGATAACTACACGTGTATATGGTGGTCAGCCAGCAGCATACACTGTAGATGGGGCTCCGAAGTGTTTTGCTTACACCTCCCCTACTTAAGTCGCACATTGCCAAAAAGCCCACCAGTTTTCATGAGATGAGTGGTAAGCAAGCCTATTCTTAGTATTATTATTATTATGTTGTAGAACTTCACATTAAGTAAAGCAAACTAACAAAGACTTGGAACATTTTTTTTAATAACAGGTTTGCATTGGCTAGTAATGGATGCCTCCAGCAATGATGTCCGTGAAATCATGGACCTGGATGGGTCGGAAAAGAATGAGGCCAGCATGGTGAAAGAGGCTTTAATGGGAGCAGACAAAAAGGTAAAACAGCCCATTAGTCTCTCTGTCAGCAGCAGCTATAATGGATCATGAGCTTAGATATATCAAAGTTGAAATTACCATTACAGTAAACAAGTTCTTTGCAAAAAATAATATTAATAAATGATAATAACCTTTTAGGTGGATTGGGATAATTTGTGAATACCAGGAGGAATATTGCCACCAGACACAATCTTATGATAAATTTTACAGTTTTTTGTCTTACTTTTATTTTTAAATAGAAGAAAATTAAGAAACCAGAATCTAGTTTCAAGAAGCCTGATGGGATGCATAGAGAATTGTGGGGTTTATTATGGACAGACAACAAGTAGGTTTATTACCAAATAATCAAATAAGGAAATAAATATGATATTATTTTCTGCATTGTTTTTGATGGGATCTGTGTTATAAATTGGTTAAATAATTGTCAGTTTTATGCAAGTTAAAAAGGTAGAAGCAATTTCTTTTCTTTTCTGTTTGAAATTTTGATTTTGTATTTTAAGCACTGATTATATTTTCAGGGATGCCCCTCCAATAATTCCTACAGATACAAACCAGGGCTACAAACAAATGAAAGCCAAGATAGGAAGAAGCAAAGTGAGGCCTTGGAAGTTCATGCCATTCACAAACCCTGCAAGAAAGGTAAAATCCATCAAGTGACTTTTTTGATTATAAAGAATAAGAAGTGTACATTGAATTAAACTGTAACAATTTGATTAGTATTTATATATTTATAAACATTTTTTATCTAAAAGGATTGAAGTTTTACTCTGGTGACGGTATGAAATTGAATGTATTTGTTTAGAACAAAGAAAACCATGAATGTATTTGTGGACATACCTATCTGCCATGTTTATTTTGACCTTATTTATATTGATATATGCTATTATCCCATTGTGAACACAACGTATATTTTTTTCATTGTTGCCATCTTGAATATTTTTGTTGTTCAGCAATCTGGTTTTTTTTTGTAGGATGGAGCCATCTTCAACCACTGGAGAAGAGTTGCAGATGAGGGGAAAGACTATCCCTTTGCCAGGTTTAACAAGGTAATTTGCTGGCTTCTCACCACCTTAATATTTTAATCGGCAAATAAATGTCAAACTAAGATATTTTTTGTATATTTGTTTTTATTTTTCATTTATTTCTTTTCTACTTTAAAAGAAGGTTAAGTCAGACACAAGGTTTTTCTATGGTAACGCAAAATTCTGCATTTTTTAATTCAATTCTGATGGTTCCTGAGATTTGTCAAGATCTGCAATAAAATAGGTGTTGGGTCCCATGATGAATGTTCAGTTTTTATTTTATTTTTTTTTTAACCTAGGCTCATTTCTGTTTACTAATTCTATATTCAATATTGAAGTAAATCTCACATTATATGATACTGTAATTTATTGTTGAAGCTCATTATAAATAGATCATATTAAAAATTTCTTACTTCTTACTTGTCTGACATTTCCCTGATAAAGAGTGTAGTGTTTGTAAATCACAATCTTCAGACAGTGGACGTTCCAGTGTACACTGATATAGAATATCAGCAACATCTGCACGATGAGAACTGGTCCAGGCAGGAGACTGACCATTTGTTTGACCTGTGTAAGAGGTTCTCCCTCAGGTTTATTGTCGTCCATGACAGGTGGGACAGGGTGAAGTTTCCCAACAGGAGTGTGGAGGATCTGAAAGAGAGATTCTATGGAATATGGAATACATTGACAAAGGTAGGTGACAGAATGATTGTTAACAGAATTTGATTTATAAAAAAAAAAAAATTTGTGTAGGGGTTAGCCTAATGACCCTTTACACTATAACAGTTCTAAACTGAATTTTATTTTAAAAAAATAAACTGGATTACAGTTTTATCTTGGAAACCCCTTGGTGGGTAGCAAATAGTCTGGAATAGTTTAACTTGGTGATAATTACCTTGTGAATTAATTGGCCATGAATAACACTTGATAATTCAGGTGAGGGCAGCACATGGCACAGAACCAAGAATCCGTATATTTGATGCTGATCATGAAAGGAAGAGAAAAGAGCAGCTAATTAAGCTGTTCAACAGGGATCCTGAACAGGTAGGTGTGTGAGGCAGATATGATGTAATGTTTTTTATTCAGTGTTTGTGTGTAAGATTACATTATGTAATCTCAATCGCAAATGGATGTAAAAAATCTCAAAGCTAAAAATAACTTTTTAAATTTAATATTACCGTGCTTTGATTGTTTTGTATTCCTTCAGTTAAAGTTTTTGTTAATTTTTGTAAAGTTATCATAATTCAGCTAGCTTTGCTTTTAAGAAATGTAATAACCCTACATTAGTTTCTAGTGTTGCACTCATATAAATTTTCATTAATAGCTAATTTGTTATTGTCAACCTTGTAGGTAAAAGAAGAGGAACAGTTACTTCAAGAATTAAAGAAGATAGAATTGAGAAAGAAGGAAAGAGAAAAGAAAACACAAGACCTACAAAAATTAATCACGGCTGCAGATAGCAATATGGAGAGCAGAAGAATGGAAAGAAAGACAACTAAGAAGAAAGTTCCTCCATCACAGAAGTCTAGAGACATAGGGGTGGGTAGAGGATACCTATGTACTGATAATATTTTGATTTAAAATGACCCAATTCATGTCTAAACATGTGCAGTAGCTGAATGTGTTGAAATTTTGCCAATAGAAGTAATACTTTTCATTTCTTTGATTTTTCTGATTATTTCTGTTTGATCGCACAACTTAACAATATTTTGACCACTAAAACTGAAACTGTTGCAGCACAATGGAAGCTGCCAAAAATGTGAACAAGTTCAGTGCATAGATTGAAATGAAATATTTACTTTAGGCTACCCCAGAAAGCACAGGCATCAAGTTCCCTGACAGCAAACAATCTGGAGTGTCTCTAAGAAGCCAGAGGGTAAGTTCACAGACTCTCCTCTGTAATTTGAATGGTTAAACAGACATGATTTTGTTTAGATTTAAATGGGGAATTTGACTTTTTAAAAAGTTTTTCTAGTTTCTGTGGCCACCTGATTGTATGGCCAAGCCATTTCTTCCTACTTTTTTCTTTCGGCCCAAAACTATGTCTGTTTAAGTCATCCCGTCTTTATTAGTGGCCTTGTTAAACGAGCCAAAAGTGTTTCAGATTTTTCTGGCTATATTAGAGAGGCAAGTGGTTCCACAAAATTAATTAAAGGTGCTATGTACCATTTATTCAACTTGCCTACAAATGTAGAGCAAAGACATTGTATACTTATTTATTGATTTCTTGTGTAATTTCAGATGAAACTTCCAGCCACAGTTGGACAGAAGAAAACCAAAGCTATTGAACAGGTGTTGGATGAACTCGCAATTGGTAAGTGTCTAAGTGGGTTTTAAAAGCAGTGATAAATTACATGCTCAAGAAAATTGATTATTGTATGTATGTATGTATGAAGAAGTGCACGTATGCATATTGAATATGTGGTGATAGGATAACATTTAGTACTTGATAGACTATTTACTGGATTAAGGATGTGGTTGACAACAGAAATAAAATAAGCATGTGTGTTTCTATCTTCAGACCTTAATCCCATTCCAACAGAAGATATTGTACAGCATTTTAATGAACTGCGTCAGGACATTGTATTGTTATACGAGCTAAAACTTGCCCTGGCAAATTGTGAATATGAGCTTCAAACTCTAAGACATCGCTATGAGACTTTGGCTCCCGGGAAGGTAAGAGTAAAATAAGATTATTTCTCTATTTCATGGGTTTAACATGTGATTCAGCTATATATATATATATATATGTACTGTGTACTTGACATTAGCCCAGACATTCTTGATTCGAGACCAGTGTGTCATAAACATGCCTAAGATTCTCCTTCCCCTTATTTCCAGCTGGGAAATTTGTTAATTGAAACTTTTTATCTTCATCTGCTACTTGTTCCTCTATCCTCAAAACCCAGCAATCCTAGCAAGGCTCCTCTTTTACCAGATCACAGATGTGTTAGTTGAAATTTTTATACAAATGTGTTAGTTGAGGCTGTCATTCAAGTGTGTTAGTTGAGACTGATCCCATTGCTTCTCTAGGTACTTGATGTGGGGCCCTCTCCTGCCAGCACTCTGAGCACATCAATGGCAGATATAGCCACGGCTGAATCTAAACCAGACTCCCCTTCTAAAGCCAGGAAAATCTCAGAAACTATAGATGTTGTGGGACCTTCTGGTGCTGTGGGTGGGAGTTTAACTGAGGAATCATTTCATGTAAGTGTTAACTGTTGCCTCCTGTGTCACCTTTTTAGATCTTATCTTTATAGGTAAAGAGGCACTTGAAGGTGTATGAAGTGTATCAAGTGCATAAAATTGATGTGATTTATGTGCTCAGGATGGAATGTTTCGCTTTAAGTCAGCCCAAGATACAGGGCAGCTTTCAAAAATGCAATTAAATTTGAAAATGAATACATTGCCATTGTTTTGCACTAATCTATCCTTACTACTCTTTCAGAGAAAAAGAAGACTTGCAGCTATTGAACAAAGCAACATACTGAAGAAAATTACCAAGCAGAAAGTGTGAACAAATCGTAAATGTTTTCCAGAAGTGTTCTTGACAAGTGCGTGAGGCGATTGTGATGGCAGAGTTGTAGCGACCCTGGTCTCTGTGTCTGTCTACTGGGTCATACTATCAAACTGTGTTGGTATAGCTTTAAATGACAAGGAGAATAGTTGGGTATCCAGTGAACGCCAGTTCGTACCAACTATTACATCGACCAATTATTTCAGTTATCGGAAGGTTGATAACAAAATAAAATCAGGGAAGTGAATAATGACTGAGACACACTCCATTAAAAAAAGGATATGGCTCTATGAAGTCAACATTTAAACTCATATTCCATTTTTGAATGGCAAATCAAAGTGGTTGAATATACTTCAGATTGAGCTTGGTCTTAGTGACTGTAGGTGTGCCATTATCAGGTACCAGACAAGTACACGGGAAATAGTTCTTAGCAATGGACAAATGATACTGAAATTCCTAAAATTAGTCTTCAAGGGCAATTAATTAGCTTTGCAGATAATAATTTCAAGATCTTTTATTCAATCTTGTGCCCAAAGGGTGAGCATTAGACAGTTTCAATAAATATCAAACATAATTCAGGATTTTGTTTCATCTTTTAGTAGAGCATTTGGCATCATTATTATGCTCAATTTCCCTTTTCTGTATCATATGCCATTTTAATAAAAGTATACAAATACATATATGTCCATATAAATTTTACCCAAATAAGTGATTTTTTTTTGTAACCTGGGTAACCCATGTTTGTTTTCATGTCAAATCAATATGAAAGTCAACAAAACTCAAAACACCTGCTACCGTTATCTTTCTATGGACCCCTTGTGAATCTTCCTTGATACACATTTGGACCCGTATGTGTGTTGGGCATTGGGTCAGATTAAATTTACTGGTTAACAAAAATCATGTGGCCTTGAAATGGAGTTGGAGATCTTTTTAGCGTTCATTTACAGCTGATATGAATTGACTTTTTACACCATTTATGTTTTAAAACATTTCAAGTGAAAAGACGGGTTTTGTTAAATTTGCAACAATATATTACACGGGCATCATTACAGATTTTGGTCAAATTAATGCAAAGGGAAGACATCAAATTAAAAGTAATTGACTAATGTTTGTCCCAGAATGCAATCCATACTCATAGAAATAATTATTTAAAAGTTCGAACACTTAATGGACAGGGTAATTTAAAAATAGTTACAATTGTGCTAATTTTGTCTTCGACACTATTTTCATATCCAAACGTTTAAATATATCTTGAACGAAAATAGATATCTTATCGTTTAAACGGTCCCTTTTGATCTCAGGGATTGATAGAAACTTTTTTGCTAACACCGAGATCTTCGCTATTTTTAGACGCACTGCTTGTTAACTGCATGAAGCCATTGCACATACAAAAAGTTTTTCTGGAAAAATTACTGACCAAAATATAACATTCATGTATTAATCAATTTATTTCTATTGCCCAATATGGTGCTTTGAAGGGGAAGAAAAATACATTGGCGAATATAGAGTTAAGATTGGTATTACTTGGAACAATAGCATTGAAAAAAAGAGCAAAAATGAGTGATTGGTCAACTGATGGCGACCATGAAAGCCACGAAAGCTTTACCTTTCAATGGAGGTGGTAGCTAAATTTCAGTTTCAACGTGAATTTTGTAACACAACTTTTGACTGACGGCCTAAGAGACTCGTCAGATTTCTTTTCATGTCACCGTGAGCAGCTTGTACGCGTGTCACCATATGCCATGTATCTAGCATCTGGCCTATATCAACTAATTATGAAATTATATCCAAGCAAATTCTCATAAACCATGACATCAGTTTGAAAAACACAATGACTGCATGGAGTTCATTATTATATTACTTCTGGCACGATCCCGGTACCTTTTTTTATATTTTTTGTTAGTCACCAAAATATTTTTAAAACATATTTTTACTTTTTTTAACGGTACCTTATATCTCTTACCTTGATTTTTTAAATTTGCATTTTGTATGTGGCTAAATATGCCGTTCACCGATTAGCAGAATTTGGGAGATTTTTTTTAAATGTAGGCTTTTTTATTACATAACTTAGGAATATTTTACTCTCAATGCTACAATACGAATATTTTCATTTGCCAAGCTTTGTTACAATTGAAATAATCGAATGCTATTTTCAAACTTAAAATTGCCTTAGCTCAACTTCTTTCTGACTTAGTAGGTCGTTCCTTCGGTCTCAAAGTACCAAAAACTATCCTTTTAATTGTGCATATATTATGTTACACTCTTAATCTTACAGATGAATTTAAAGTATATAAATGGGTACGGTATATCATTTAAAGAATATGAGGGACTGATTGAAACCGTCTTCTGGGTCTTCCAGAAAACGGTCAGATTTTAAAGTTTACATTGACGGGTATCTATTTGAAAATGGAGGATGGATCAACAAAGATAATTTGGAAAACTGGCAGAAAATATCTCTGGATCCGCTCCTGAATATGACATATTTTGAGTCACCAAAAGGCCGGAGACCAACAGTAGCATGATGGTCAATTAAATGGCTACTGTTTCATTTGCTCTCAAAATATAAATTTTTCATGTAATCATTTTGATCGAACCTCCATCCTGTCTTGGTCTGTGCAAAAAGGGCATGGTTTTTCTTTACATATTTTGTCCAGTGTATATATATATATATATGTTTAAAAATCTTATTTTTATACATTAAAATGTCTCTGGTATCCAACTTTCATCCAATTAAATATTAAAATAGACCCAAACTGACATAATACAGATTGCCGGAAAGCAGTCAAATAAAAGGTTTAACATAAAGATAACGCAAAAGACAATACACCAAATTTATTTCTGACCAAAAAAACGTTTCATATTAAAAAGACAACATACATTCAAAACTGAAATGAAGTTAACCTCCAAATTCTCTCTCTCTCTCTCTCTTTCTCTCTCTCTCTCTCTCTTCCACTTCAGTCAAGATGTCTTTGTCATCTCCACATTGTCAGCATAACTTCTTTGACAGATGTTCTTATCTCTGCCTGTGAACAGTCTAGTGTGTATTCGCGATGTTTGCGCCTTCTATTTTGTTCCCGAGATTTAAGAGGCGGAGAATATTGACTGTTTGGCCAGTGATTATGACGGATGATCCGGCCCGATGTTCTCCAAATTTAGGTCACCAAATAAGGTACTGCAACATAAAAACAAACGAAAAAATATATAGTAACGCACCACATATTAGAAAAGAGACAATTTCTACGGCTAAAACAGTGGGTTAGTTTTTCAGGCTAATTTTAAAAGGACGCTTACATGGTGCAACAAAAGTTTCCGCTTTTTAAAAACCGCGCATATTATGAAACATACGGTATTCTTTCATAGTCGGGCAGTACGGTGTGGTTCAATATTTGAATGGAGGACAATGACAGCTGAAGATACCCAATAAAGACGTTTACTGATATATTCCAACTGGACGCAAAGGAAGGCGGAAACGAGGAGGAACTGCTGTGGTTCGAATCCGACAGCAAATGTTTTGAAGTTTCTTTTAAATGTCCAAGAAGCCATATTAAAATCTGAGAGAAATCAAACAAGAAAAGAGAGTTATTTTTGTGGACGGCTACAGTTAGACACAGTATTCGTCAAACATCTCAAATTATCGCGCAGACGTCAATTCTAAACAAAGTGGCCAACTTTAATCTGGTTGTGATCCGCCAGTTTACTCCAAAGGTACACACGGTCTACGCCAAATTGAATGTTTAGCCGTCAACACCTGTGGGTTCCTGTTTAGGACACATGAGCATATACGCATATTAGTTTATGAATGTTTGATACAAATTAGAAATCATTTCAAAGATTCTATTTTACGATCATATTCAACGCATTGTGTTATTTTAATGGTTTTGAAAAATGCGGCTTGGATTTCACGTAGACGACACGAAGACCTACTAAATTTATTTACTGCGCGAAAAAGAAACGAAAATAATGGCCAACCATCTCGCATCGAACGGTAGCCCTAGCAAAAAGAGCCCCGTACCTAAGCAAGAGGACGACACTGCAGCCGAAGATGACAGCAACTCTATCCCTAAGATTGACCCGAGGTATGTGTGGTAGGTAATGATATTTTACTATTTTGTTACATTTTATCTCTCTGTTTTTTTTTATTTTGTTTTACATAGTCCATAACTTACTTCAGAAAATTCAGTATAGCCTATTGTATGAGCAAATTATCATTTCCATTATTTCATATCTGAATAACAGCAGCCAAGAAATTCGAATGGATTTGGGTCTGCTTTTTAAGAACAAGCAAATGATACGTTTTCTGTTACTATATGAGGTTACTTTTTCTGTATCTGAGCGTATTGATTCAAAACTTTTTAACCAAAAAGAATAGAGACATGTTTGGGTTTATTTTTTAGTTTGACCGCAGTTTGGGCATAGTTCATCAAAATATTTAAGTGAACCATTAATCAAACGCGTATTTTGAGCCTCACCTGTTATTATAACAAAACAGCAAGAATAATATGTTAAAATACGTTGAGTGTAAACGATATAGACTAAGAATAGACAGCAACACAAAATATTTTACTCTATTCACAGACGATATTCAACAAATCTTTAGAAAATACAGAAACTATCTTGAAAATAGGTATAAATGATCATGATAATTACTTTTATAAAAGAAAGGGGGAATAAAAAAATGTTTTGACAATAAAGTACAATACTCTATCAGTTCCATCCCATGGACATAGAAATCGATTCAAAAATTAACCTAAAAGATTTTAAATCTAGATTGAAAAAGTTTTAGATTGAAAAGAAACATATTATAGGAATGTAAACGCACTCGTAACACTTTGGAGGTCATTAAAAATAAACATGTTTACTGCAATTATTTGGAGTATTTCAGTCAAAAAAGTCCAAAATCACATTTCATTACGTACATATACGTCCCTTGCTGTCTTGTTCACCACACGTTTCTTTTTTGTTTCTTTTTCTTTTTTTTTTCAAACAACAAATCAACTGAAATATCAATATAAAGACAAAATATATGTAGTTGATCAAAAACTAACAATGTCGGCATTAAGAAATAGACACCCTTTTTCTTTTTTTCTTTTTCCAAAGTAATTTGCCTTCTATAACTTTAAAAGAAAATCTAGAATTCTGTCATTTTATGTTGTCCTTTACTTGTTCAAAGTTATTATTTGATCACAACACAACATATTCTCAGACGACAGTTGCCAAAAGTTCTTATATACGTTTTTGATATCTTTAAAGGCTTTGATGATTTTGGTGACTTCTAAAAATGGGAAATACGGATTAAGTTGAAGCATGATGTGGTTAATTTAATCGAAATACTTGCAGATTAAGTTGATTGGCTACTGCTACTTGTCTTTCAAATTTTCGGCTAATGTGGAGTACACCTCACATGTTTGGTTCATCTAATAAACTGATCTTTGATTTCGATCGAAAAATAATCATAGGGGGCACCCGGATTTGAACCGGGGACCTCTCGATCTGCAGTCGAATGCTCTACCACTGAGCTATACCCCCACACATTTAAACATTGTTGTCAGTGTTACTATTATTGCTGTGCTTGAACATAGTTTGCATAGTAATTTATGTATCTGAATATAAATCACTATAGCTATAAACTGACTATAAATCACACGCGACTATAACACGGTTATGTGAAACCACTGCAACAAGAATAATTAGACTGCTGACGGCAATGTATTCGTCTGCCTACTGGTATTTTACAAATGAATATATATATAGAGAAAACTATATTATCTTCAATTTTTTTTAACTTGATTCAGTTTCATATAGATGTTGTTTGAGACGTGTTGATTTTTTCTCTTTTGATATTATGGTATATTGGCATTTTGCGATGCTTTTTTAAAATTTCACGCTATTTTAATTCATTAACCCAGTGAGAGGCTCGAGGTGATGCTATAAACGGCAGGAGGTTTACAGTGAGATATTAAACAGAGCATGTTATTTTTAGTATGAACTGTAAAAAGCAATTTTCTTACAACTAAGGTTTAATTGTCTTGTTTCTAAAAGATCTGTTAAAAATAAAATGCGTCGACTAATATGTTATGATATGCATCATGTCTAAATAGTGAAAGAAATATTTAGTTTTACATAAGTTTTAACTTTTTTATAAAAAAAAAAATATTTAGCATGACAGGACTGTGCAAACGCATGGTTTCGGGCGCCACCGCTTCTCATGACGCTTGTGAATTCATCATTATTATCATCGTTTCTTTTTGCAAAACTTTTCTCGTTGTCTACGTTTGGGTTTTTAATTAATCATGCTTTCATATTTCTCTATCTCAAATTTTTCATTTCTTCGCTGTCTGATATTACCAGGAAAACAAAAAACCAGTTAAGTCCGACTAAAAGGTAACCATTTGCCTTAAAACATATTATGGACAGAACGTTCAAATTAAGTATGCATGTAAAGTGAAATTGATGATTCTACAATTGCTTTAAATGCAATAGGTAAGACAAAACTCTATATTATTTGTAATAATAGTTTTTTGTTACCTTATAAGGATATTCCTTTCCTGTCATATGAACGGCTGCACCTTCACCAATAAAGTATGTAAACTTTATTGTGTCCAAACAATGCTGGTTATGTTTAAATCCACTTATTTTCTTCTGGTGTCCGATCAGAAAGGTGCACGGAAATCCATGACGAAGATTTCGTCCACAAATTCCCAACTTCTTCAATCGTTTGACTCTCTCGAACTGGCTACAATTGTATGTTTCAGATGACCATATAACTCCAAGAAGATCAAAACAACTTAATCTGCACGAAGTGTAAAGTTCCTCGTGGTATTATCTGTGTAGCGTGTTCGTGTATAGCTTATAAAGAGCGATTGTCCAACTTAAGCTTGGTACAAATCGCACGAGCCCGCACTTAGGGTGTGAATTGTTCAATTGTTTTAATACACGAACGAATCATTTCAAGCTCATAATCGTATTGTTAGATTTAGTCGCCATAAACTTCAGGTGGAAAAAAGTGCCGTGCGTGTAAATTGAATTGACTAACACATCCGTGAAGACAACACATACTACACGATGAGGTTGAAGCGTGCAGGGTATTTAATGTGAATGACATAAACTGCTTAATTAAAAATAAATCATCCGCACGTATCGTTTTGGTTTGTTAAAAGAATTACACAAATACTAAATGTTTTTCAAACTTTACACGTTACAAAATGGCAATGAAAATAGACACTTTATTTCATATCACTATTTGTTATGTATACTGAAAATACTAAAGATGACAGTGTTTTGAATGCATTGATACCAGTTTGATTGGCAGTTTCCGTTCACATTACCATGGATATACGGATTTCATTCAACAACATCCCAAACAGAGCAGTTAATTTTGGTATTTCATTGTCAACTTTGGTATTTTATAAACATTTTCTTTCCGTTATCTCTCGATAAAAAATTACATGCGACAAATCATGCGAACATCAGATCATTTACTTTTATGTAAAATAAAATGAAAGAAGTAGAGTTTATACCTATGTAAATATATATTTTTCTAAAATGTGCACGTAATACACGTAGTTTTGTAACAAAAATCTGTAAGTATTTCGATTAATTAACCACATCAATTATTTGTCGTAATTTGTTTGTAGCTTTAAAAGTAAGCGATATCGTGATAAACTACGGACGGAAATCAAAGCACTGGAGTCACAGCTGCCGCTGGACAAGACTTCCCTGCACAGAAAGCTGGACAGCCAAACTGTCTTCCGTCTGGTCATCTCATGTTTCCGAATGAAAGCATTCTTCAAAGGTATGAAGGGTATTTTTTCTGCGACAACGCACTACCTGCAAATTTGTCCACTCTTCAAAGTGCTTTTCCTGAATTATGGTCGTCTAACTTGAAAATCATAAGAAGGGAGCTATTCTTAAATCAAACACATGTTCATATTTCTTGGAGATTCTGATATAGAATATGTTGTACAAAACGGGTTATTTGTTAACTTCTAGTTTCAAAATTGATTTTGCAAACATTGATCAAACGATTACTTTTATTTAGATTTAAATAAATCTGTAAGTATGAAAGTTGTATTAAAAATGGTTATAACACTAAACATATTTTGTAACAGAAAGAAAGAAAAGCATGTAATGTTAAGCCAAGTCCTGTGCGTTTTTCAGCTGCAAGATTTGTAGACCGTGACCCAAATCCAACTGATAATTTGGAATCAAAGCCACCAGAAGAAGACACCATTATGCGTGATATCTTTGACGCGCAGTTCCTCAACCAGGTAGGTTTGGCGATATGAATTCTTGACCTCTTCGTCTAATCGAAATTTAATAACTTGCCAACAAACTTGTGACTGATAATAGGGTGTGATATGACGAAGGATTAGAGGATTGGTCCAAGGGCGAGGTGGCTGGAGGAAAGATTAACCAGTACAAATAAAAGAAGACCCATTCGACTGGAAAACAATAAAATGAGAAATCCTTTTGAATTTTTCTGCTTTAAGAGTGGTTGAAGAGGACGAGCATTCTAGATACTGATAATTCAGCAAACGTGAGAAGAGCTCTGACGAGTCATTTATATCAACTAAACCAGACAAAAAAGTGACATTTATCTACAACCGATCTCTGATAAGATTCCAGAGGTTTTTAAAAGCACTTGAAGTAGCAGAGAACCCTTTCTCTCTCCATGGTCCCCCAAAAGCAAATTGATGTTCCAGATATCCTAGTAAGCGATGGAAATTGTTGAAGGTGTAAACCTCCAATCCTACAGATTAGATAATATTGTCCATTTAAACATCCGATCTACACAATCATACTTTTCTTCCATTAATAATCATTGTTATGACACTCCATTAAGCCGGGAGTTGATAAGAAGTAAAGATTTTAGCAAACAATAGACCAAACATTGTAGCCATGAAGTTGGGTAGCCTGGTAATGACATAGCTTTGGCCGATCCGCGGGAGAAAACTTAGTATGTCTACAGCAAGAAGTGGGCAGATTACTGCCTTCAGTTTTTGTTGTAAAATATGATACTTTTAAGCTACTGGATAAAGTTTTTGTAAATTTTTTAAATGCCATAAACAGGGATCAATTCTGAAGTGATTATTCAAAGTCGGTAAAGACAGATTGTCAATAAATGGGAAGGTTAAATTCTATTTTTTTAATACAAGTTTCAATCAATCTGGATTATTCCAAATTACATGACTTCAGTAAACAATCATATACTTGCAAAGCAGACTACCTGACGTATTGATAAATTTGATCTACTCGTTTCCTTTTTTTCTTGATCAATTTCCTGTGCCCTAGCAACAGGAATTTATTTTTGTGGAATCACTATATTTGTTAACATCTGGCACTATAGGGAACATTTAGAAAAAGGTAAATATATCTTATAAAGTTGAGCCATTTTATTTGATAATCTTACCTACAACTGATGCATAAAGGAATGATATTTAGCTATTTTGGTATTTCAATAAGCCTCCTCTTTAGATAAGATCCACATTTCACATGCTGATTAATACCAATCAATATCAACCCTGGCATCAGAAAGCAAAGACAGTTATCTTAATGGAGTCCAAAGTATACAGAATATGTCTAGTTGTGATATTAATTCTATCTTGAAGTGATTTATAAATATTGATAAATGTAGTCATCTTAGCAGCTTATGGCAGATACAGATAAGGCTGGTTTATGGTGTCACAGATCAACTGAAAAAGTCTGCCTTTTTGCAATAATATGTAATATAGCACTCAACTTTATCAACACACTTCTACAACTGACAGTTGTTCACCTTGTAAGTGGTGACACAACAGTTGGGAAAGTCATGCACCACTTAAAAAGAATATGCTTATCAAATAGGTTATAATATCTTAGCATAATGAAAATCAAACAGCGGCTTTGGAATGAACATTCATTTAAAAGATAAGATGAATGTAATTTCTGACAGAAATTGCACAATTAACACAAACAAGTTGTTAGCCCTTTGAAATTAATTCTAGGTCTTTCTCAAATTGTCTAACAAGTCTTCGGTTCATAAACAACAATTGTCCACTTGGTAAAAATATGTCTAAAACCACTGCAATTTTGTCTACTTTAGTCATTGCTTCAGTCGGCTGATTAAGTATCCTCAAGTGTTCCTGAAGGTATCTTATCAACAGCTTCAAGACATTTTCTGCCAGAGACCGATTTTCATTTTTCTCACAAATCATTGTGAAACCACAGTTTACAGCTGCCATCCAAACAACAATCTTTTCATTTTGAAACGGCTCGTCTACAGGAAGTCTGATGTATCCAAGTTCAAATTCAGGCAATGTTCCTTCATTATTCAGCTTAAGTAAGTCATCATCTAGTGTTTTCCCTGTGACAACCCTTCGAAAGGCAAATTCAGACTGAACTAGTTGAGCAACCCTGTGCAAGTTTTGTTTACGTTCGGTCCGAAGATCACTTCCGTGTTTTGCAGGATCGTTTTCTCTTTGGGTGTCAATTATCTGTATTTCTTGTCCAAACGAGGAGGAATAAATGATTCTGCAGGTTCCTGGTGATACAGTGTGTATGATGAATGCATAAACCATTCTTATATCACATTCAAAGTAAAGTTATTTTGAATAAAATTATTAACCCGGCGTACACATGAAGGAAGAAACTAAATAGGTCATAATGCCGGAAACGCTGTCCGAGCAAGCGCATTGTGTTTTGATAGGTTCCACCAATGACCTAGTTTTATATCAGCATGTGGGACACGTGGAAACAAAACGTGCTTCATCCTCTGTTTTGGTGAAAGAGCTACCACAGGAATGCTCTTAAATGACCACAGCGAGTTGTCAACACAGTTTTTAAAACAAGCATTCCTCTCTACCAACAGTTTTTCATGACATATCTTGCATGGGGACAGATTTGCGAATTTACACCGTTGTTTACCTTTTTCTGATACAGGGTAGCATTCATTCTTCAGTTGACATTTGAAAAATACGTGACATAAGGGCAGTACTACAGTGTAGGTGATACATTTTAAGTCATTCTGTTTTTTTTTCTGGTGTAATATAATAGTACAGATTTTGAATCGTATTCATTTTGGTATATCAAAAAAAAAAAAAAAAAATTCAAACTGATCAGAAAAATATATTTAAATTATATCTCCTGTAAGGTACATGTAATGCAAAACATGCAGATTGCAATTCTTTTGAAAGTTTTAAAATATTCCTACAAGCAACAACGATATTGAAGTTTTTTAACTGCTATATTACACCCATCATTCAATCCTACACATCGTTCAATATTCATTGTTTTTTTCCCAGTAAATTGCAAATTTCCTGAACTTTTAAATGGTATAAATTACACAGCGCTAAAAGACAGATTTGAAAGGGATGTCAATCGTGACCTGTAATCAGGCTGTTCACAGTTTTGCCAGCACTGTGGCTGGACAGTGACTACTGGCGCCTCACATGCATTGTGATAAACGTACATTAATTTGAGACCAGTATTAGAAGTAATTTTTGATGTTCCCTCATTTCAGTTACTGGATGGGTTTCTACTTGTGGCAACCTCAGATGGCACCATTTTATATGTATCCCAAAATATTCTACAAAATTTAGGATTCAACCAGGTATTTTAAATCTCAAGTAAATGCTAACATATGATAAGTAAGCTGTTTTGAATAATTGTTGCATGGTAAATTAAGAGCTAATACCTATGTGTAATTATTCAGGAAAAAATTAATAAGAGGAGAATACTATAATACATTCTCAAAACATTTAATTTGGGAGTTGTTACTACTTCAATATTTCAGTTTGTAACAAGATGCCTTCATCAGGTTTAGCTGTTCATTAAAAAAGTTATGGTAACTTTGAGTGCATAACACAGCTGATGAATTTCTTTGCTGGTATGAGCAGTTTACAGTATGTTTGGCAATGTTTTCTTTTAAATTGTCCTCCTTTAGGTTGATCTGATGCATAGGTGTCTCTATGGAATTGTGCATCCAGATGATCACCATGAAGTCAAGATGGTTCTCGAACAAACCATAATTGACCCGAGATGCCAGCCACAAGAAAAGGTTATTCAATCAAATAGAAATGAAATTTATGTATTTTAGCTGGCGTATATATGATGATATTTGCATCCTAGTTAATATTAGACATTTTTTTGTATGCACTTTCTAAAGTCAGAAGTCAGTAACTAAATTCATAAGTATACAAATGATAATCAGTATTATAAGATTGAATAAGGTTATTCTGAATATGTATTATTTGAAACACGGTTTTCTGTTGAAAGCATAATTATTTTTCAGTCTAGCAACTACATCCAGCAAATGCAACATGAAGGAATAGAAAATGTAAATAGAGTGCAGTATGACCATGCCCCACATATAACACCCAAAGCAGTTTCTTTTTTATGCAGAATGAAATGCTTTAATGGAACTGCTACTGGATATTTGGTGAGTAGCTCTAAGGAATCTTAAAAAAAAAAAACATCAAGGATTTTGGTGTCACTTTGTTTAAATAGAAAAGAGAAATGCAGTAAGTTTAAGTTATTATGTTCATTTGGTTTGAATTTATATTTTGCATATTGTTTCTTATAAATGATTGATCATCTGCTGTCAGAAAATACTACCACTAAAAAACAATCTCACATCACTTTCTCCAGAAAATGCACTGTAGCGGCCATATGCATTCCTTGCCCAATGCCCTGAAGTCTACTCGTACCTCTTGTCAAGTGGTATTTGCATACTGTCGTCCATTTATGTTGTCCAGCAATGACCCAGAGAGTGATCTCAAGCAGAATGTGTTCTGGAGTAAACATGAAATGGATCTCACTTTTAAACAGCTTGATAAAAAGTAAGCAAGCAAGTATCTCTTGAATTTTTCATGTATTTTTGGATATAAGAAATGTTATTGTTGTACAATAAGGTCAATTTTTTGTAGGTGTTTTCTGAAACAATATTGTGTGATTTTCTGAAACAGTATTATGTGAGATTCATTTCTACAAAAACAATTGGATTTTAACTTGACTGCCTTGTTTGTGGTCCTGTTCTCTAATTGGAAGGTCTAGGTGGCATTTTTGTGTCATATGTGAAATGTCTATGTTTAGAATGATAATCATTTATCATTGGTTTTTAGATCTGTGGATGTGATAGGTTTTAGCACAGAGGAGATAGATGGGAAGTCATTTTACTCATTTGTACATCCAGAGGATCTGGCCACTTGTATTGCATGCCACAAAGCATGTAAGTAAATGACTTTTTGAATTACTCAATATATACAATGCTTTATATCAACATATATTTATAACATATTTTCATGACAAAAATGCCATGTTGAATTATGATCAGTACATTTTATCTATGATATCTTACATAAAAGAAATCTTGTATTTGAAAAAAATTTAAGACATGTCATTTATCAAACATACTCATCCTTGCATATACCTTGCGTAATTTAATTAGTTAATTTATTAGTTAATTTTAACTTTTTAAGAGAAAATTGATTATATCAAAAGTTAATTTTGTTTCTTTCTGCCAACATCAAATTGCATTTCAAGGTGACAAAATGATATTACTCATTATGTTGATGATAGACTGACCATAAATGTCAATTCATCTCCATTTTTGGCTACAATCAGACCTAGAAATAGTCTGCTCATTAACTGTTTCAATCTACTTAGGTATTTTTATGAACTTTCAAAATTTCATTTCTACCTGGATGTTGGTTTTGATGATTTCTAATAATATTCTAGCCCCTTAAGTGGCCATCAAAAAAATTCTCAGCAAACAGTTTATAAAAAAGAGTGTCATAAAAAAGAAAAAAAAATGACAGTAAATTTTCAATTTATTTTTTAGTCACAGAGAGTCAAGAAATCCAAACCATGTATTTTCGATTCATGTGCAAGAGTGGCAATTGGATCTGGCTTCATACTAGAGGAAAGGTGGTCTTTAAAAATGCAAAGAAGTATTCTGTTGTTTTCTCACATTGTCCTGTCAGGTAAGATATAAAATGGACACAAAAACCAGGTAACAAAATGGTATAAAATTGCCCTCAATTTTTTTCTTTTCTCTAAGAAATCATTATTTCTCAAATAGTATTTGGTTTAAGTATGTAGTTCAAATAAATGATATAATTAGTGTTCAACCTATCTAGAGTATTAACCCATGGTAATTTTTAAGTAGAATGCTGTGATGTCTTGTTCCTAGAACCAGCTGACAATATTAAACTGATTAAACATTTAGTTTTGTGATGAGTATATAGTTAAGGCATAAGGAATAAAATAACTTTTCCTAGTTTCATTTTCTTAATTCAGAAAAGATATATCAAATCATTTCAGAGAGGAGGACAGTACATACATTCAGCAAGAAGTGATGTTGAGGACCAGATATGCCATCCAGGACCTGATGTACAGCACCAGTCTCCAGCAGTGGGGGGACAGGACTGATGTCTACCAGGAGCTCAACCAGAGCCACAACACCATTAGAGCAGTGACCAGGTATCACCCATATGGAGGCTTGAGGGAGGAGGATGCCAACAGTCTACACAGTCCACATGGCACATGTCCTTCCAGCTGGCACTCCAACTCTGAGCGCCATTCTCCTGTGTTTCCATCCACACACATGCCACACAAGTACTTCCAGAGGGAAAGGCAGTACCATATGGAGGAGATCAAAAGGAAAGCCACGGAAAAGGAGATGCAAGGGATGGTCAGTCAGTCCTCAGATCATCAAGGGATGCTTCTACATCAGCAGAATGGCCCAGTGGGTCCAGTCTCAGGTCAGCTTCAAGGTCCATTGAATAACGGCATGCACCTGTACCCTCCCCCTCCTCAAGGGAATTTAGCAGAATTCCAGGTATTTGAAAACCAAGGGTACCATGCCAGACATTTTCAAGTTGCGCCACATTTAAATGGTTATGCCGGATCAGCAGCAGTTGGGTTTCCAGCCATCTTTGGTGGGCACTCTCATGAACCTCATGATGCCACCCCTCAGGTGGCCCAGGGGTATCATGCTTCTCCTCCTCATCAACATCATCCACCTCATCCTCAATTTGGGGTCGAATTTTGGCCCCATCATCCTCACACTCTTGCACAGATGCCACCACATTTGCCTCTTTCTCCACCACCATCTCCCTCTCCACATTACCACTGGAAAACCATGGAGCCTTCTTCAGTGTCCTATGTAACAGTTGGGGAGTATAGGCATTATAACACTGATCCCCAGCAAGAAGGAGGAGGAAGAGGAGGACATGCAACAACTAACAGACATTGGCCAGTATACAATTCTCATTTCCTTCATCATATGCCTACGTCAGAGGAGTCCCCCCATCAGGTGAATATGTCATCAATGAGGCATGATCCCAGATATGTTCCTGAAGAAGATGGTTACAATCACCAGTATCAAGTACCCTACAGACTATCACACAATCCCACCCAGCCACCAATGTCACATGCTGACCAACCATCACTGCTAAATCACAGACATTCAAATAATGCTTTTCCAGACCATGGCACCTTCTATACGAACAATTCTGCACATCAAACACAGTCCACAGAGCCATCCAGACTTGCTCCAAGTGATATAGACATGTCAACCCACATGAAGATTGTAGAGGAAGGATCTGGTAGCCATGCCAGTGGCAGCGCAACTGGGCACCCTGTGAATTCACTGCCATCTGTTGGCAGTTTTCTGGAGTACTTGAATGATGTTTAAGGCTTGAATTCCTGTTGACTGTAGATCAGATGTACCGGTCTTCAAAATACTTAAATGAGCAATACCACAATACCAACTGTGTCTCTTGATGTTTTATACTTAACAAAAGGTCTAATATATACATGTATGCACTATACAAGTACCTGTATAAGTTGTAGTTATTGCATACGTCGTACGCATCTATACACTTGCATCTAATTCAGTTATTATAGATGTACATTTGCAGTCAGTCTTACCTCATTATACTGAATTTCCAAGATTATCATTTGAGCCATATTGAACACCCATTGTATCTTTTTGTAGAACATTTATGGTACAGTCTTTTCTTTAATTGCTTTAACAAGATCTCATGAAAACGGAAAATGCAGATTTTTTGCATCATAAGATCTAGGCTCTTATGAGTATATATATGTGTGTGTGTGTGTGTGTGTGTGTGTGCAAATTAGTATGTAATGCAATTTTAAACAAGTTGGGTTTTAATTGTATGATTAATAATAAATTGGTTAATCTATAAAATGAATCTTGCATTTTGAAATAAAATATAGTATTGTTAAACAATGCTACAATTTAAAGAATTTACCATCGCACAGTATTGTCTTTTTTCTTAAATATGCAGTATTGTTATAAAAATGTAAAATGCAGAGAAAAAAAACACAAATAAAAAATAATTACTTGAAAAATATTTTATTACCTCAAATTGGTGAGAAGAAACATCACAAAAATGTGCTCAGCATATGGAAGCATATAACCAAAAGTTTCAAAAAAGTAATTTAATTCACTGGTTTACTTGTGAGTAGTGGTTTCATGATGCCCTGTACATTTTATAATAAATGTGAGTATTTATAAAAGCCATTCAAAACAAAAGCTTAACCTTCCATTGTCCACTGACAATTAGTTAAGTTCTTATAATCCTGAAATTGAAAAGTAATTACATTTTAAGTGCATTTCAGAAATACACCATTATATTGTATAGTACTGAGGATTTTAATTAATTATTGTACACAAAATTAACATATCCAGTATTCATTAATATCCTGCAACTACAAGTGGATGGGACACATGGCGGAGCTGCCTGTATAATATTTCATCATCCAGACCTTCATCTTGTAGACAACTAATATTGTACATGATAATATACCAGTAACAAGTGACCATAATACAGGTATATATCTCCTGACTCAAGTTTGCAACATACTTGAAAGAGAAAGGTTATATGTGCTGTTTCACTAACCTTGGCCAATAAACATATGGCAAACGATAACTAAACTATCTTCAGTATTTGTAAACATGTAAAGAATTAAGTTGCTGCTACTAAGGTACATATCATTTACTGTACCAGTAACGTGTTACACATAAAAATTTTGAAACAGCAAATGAAAAAACGAACTACGAACTACTTGACACTATCAAGATTGCTTTTTATCCAAACTGAAGAAGGAGTAAATGAACCTCATTATTTTACATTCTTACTATTGCTTATCATATTCACAGCTGTACTCTGGTGATAATCATATGTATCCCTTTTGATATGGATGTGACTGAACATACAGTGCTCAAAGTAATAAGGGCTATTGTCAAAGAATATACACAATAGAAATATTCTCTAGTTGTAGAAATACCCTCATTAAGAATGTAAAGTAAATTTATGACAAAAATTAATATTGTCTTCACTTTAAATACATGTATTTATCTCTTTGTAGATAGGATCTGAATATGAGTATTAAATAAAATGTAGAGTTACAACTGTATATTACTATATCTTACAAAAAAAAGTATAAAACACTGAATTAAATTTTAAATCTTGATCTATTTGCTAGTGCAGTCGAAATTACATTTAATGACACAAAAAACGCAACTAATGTTCATGTTTTGAAAAGAAATTCTCTACCTGCCATTCTTGATTAAGTTTTACCAAATATTCAAACAACTCAATTCCTTAAAATCTTTCAAGGAAAAAGTATCAGACAATGTAAAACAAAACATTTTTCCTTACCCAATTTTCTATCCAAAATAAAGTCATACACTTTACATTATGAATGCTATTTTCTGTACACCTCTGACTATCCAAACCCCTTCATGAAAAACAGTTGCTATAAAACATAAATGTCTTATTTTAAAAATGTACAGTAAAAAGATACACATTTTGTACATGGGAAGCAGATTATCATACTCGTTACTGATAGATATAACACAATTTAACAATTTGTTAAGAAAAAAGAATTTAAAGAAACAAAATTTGTCAGTCTTTTAACAGCATATACTCATTTTCAGCAGACCTCCACTTGCAAATAGAAATTCACTGCCATTTGGGATTTTCTCAAGGAAAAAATGTTATCCCAATGTAAATTTGAAGCAGTTCCTGTTATTTACACATTCCTTTTTCAGACAAATGAATGATTATGACATATCACATGTGATAATTATTTTACAAAAATAATCTCCAAATTAATGCAAAATTTGTGAAACTTAGTTTTGTATCTTTACTAGCATTTGAGAGGACTAAGAAAGTCACTGCCAACACTCTCAGGCCCACTAATACGGTCGTCTTAAAAAGGAAATATCTTTTATCCATACCAGTATACTGCTTTCTAATTGAAATGCTTAAAGAAATTAATAAACCCATTATAGCCTGGGCTCTATATAACTCTTCTGATGTATTACATACATTGATTACACTGTACTTGAACATTTCAATATAATAAAACATTGGCAAAGTCTTTTGGTCCCTTGTAAGTTGACTAAATAGAACTAAATCCCCCCCTGTTTTGCCTGATAGTAATGGTGCTACTATTTGTTACGCAGCTGCATTACATCATGCATTGACCACAACCTTGATATCACTGACTAGACTGCTCGTATCCATTATATAATATTTCTTGTATCCTCGATTTGGCCTGACAAGATTCTGGCCAAAAACACAGCCAGGAGCTGAAATATAATTCAAGAAGCATTATATACATTTTCTACTTTTTAAATGCTGATTAGCCCAAAACATACTGACATTTCAAAAAGGCTGGGCTGCAGTTTTTATATACTTAAGACTCGTAAATATGAAGTGTCATTTTAAATAAATATGAAGTTAATTCTGCTTAAGTTAAGTGAATTAAGTTTTTTTATTTTTTTCCTAAAAAAATAATAAATAAATAATTATAAAAAAGCAGACAGTATCTTTTATTACATGTAAATCGGCCAATATTCACATGAAAGTTAGCAAAATGAACAAACATAACATGCTTCAGGTACCCATCACCTTTTGACTTCCCATTATTGAACAAGGAACTTAGTACAACACTGTACCAAACGGGGACACCACATGTGCTTCATGAATACAATATCATTCATGTGACATCCAGCTCAATATTCATGTACCTTAACCACAGCTCATTATCTCCATCTAGACAGCTGATCTTGAACCTGTCCTGCCAAAATTCTGGCGAAGAAAATGGCCAGGATCTAAAAAGTTAGCAACAAATAAAAGTAAAATAGGATGACAAAACCAACGTAACCTGTGAGTGAGAAATCCATGCTTGGTTTAATAACAAAAGAATGTACATTATAACATTGACAAAAACGACACATAGAAAGTAAATTCCAAGCAAGCAAATGAAAACGATTACGTGTTGTTAAGCAAAGCATATATAAGGCATTATTAGCATGACATGCAACATGTAAGCATAAAGCTGCAAGCAAATATGGGTAAATCAACCTTAAGGGTGATTTAATTATTAGCATGTGCTGTGTATCAATAGAAATAATGTAAATAATAGAAATTATACTTAGAATTAAAGAAAGTGGGTAATATATTTCTCAGTAAAGAAAATGATGGCACAGTATTGCTGAAGGATGCAGTTTCATGTGACGGTCTTGTGTTTGACATGGGGCTGGTGCAACATCAGTATACTACAACAATGTTATCAATGGAGACAACAATATACAGGGAGACTTAAAACCACTCACTGATTTGCATCCATTGATGTTATAAATTATAACACTTTGCGATTTAATTATTGAGTTAATTTTTTACATCTCTACAAAGTTTTGAACTAGATGCACGACTTAAATTATCCTCCTACTTGCACACAAGTTTTACACAAATAGTCATATATTTCACAAAAAAATGTGAATCTTATCCTTCTTGGGATTTCTTCGTTTTTGTGAATGCATGAAAGAGCATTTGTTGAATTGCTTAAGAATTTTCCAAGAAGTTTCACCTATTCATTCCTTTTCAGGGGAAGAGGGGGCAAGATGAGAGAAATAACCCACCTGCATTACCCTTTTTTGCATTTAGTGTCACATGCAAATATAATGAGTGATCATCAGCCTCATCCTATACCAGCCTCAGAGCCTGTACCTACCTGTACCACTGCTATCCCCACCACCACTCCTCCTATGATGTACAGGTTGTCTTCTGCTATGGCCAAAAATGCATCTATGCAACCAATTTCAAAGATTTTTCCGGATACACCACTGGTCTGAAAATAGATTTCATTTTTTTTAACAGTAGAAAAAAACATCTTTTCATGACTTCAGTTCTATTAATAATTATCACTATTATTCATTTATCTATACTTTAAAGTACATATATAAGTCTAAAATCCCTTCTCTAATTTTAATTCTATTCTTTTCTATGGAGTACTTACTCCGCCATCTGGTTTCATCACACCATATCCACACATTGTGTTGATCAAGTCTTTCTACAAGAAGATAATTACATAACAAAATACTGGAGTATATACTATATACATGTATGTAATAACATACTGGCTATATATAACTGATGCTTCATGCATTCCTACATGATACATTTTTGTTTGACCAGGTGCAGCTGCACCTTTTATCTTTGGATCATTATGAAGCATTTTTGGATCCTTCAAACATCTTTTTACCATCTGTAAAATTATTTTATCTCTTAATAACTAATGCAGAAGAGATTATCATCACTGGCTCTAACAAGTTAAGTGCTCTCCTGAGCTGACATAATGTACACAGAGAGAAGTTACGGTGAAGGGGAATGGGGGTGGGGGCAGAGATAATTTGGAGAAGAAAAATAATGTGGATTGGACCCTACCTTAACATGTCTAAGCTACAAATCATACTTTTTATCAAAATTTAGAGATTTTCCCCTCTTTCCAAAATGAATATGGAAAGTCTTCTACACAGGAAAAAAATCTTTTTCTCCCAATATACAACATTCCCATGCATTTAAAACATAACACTTTATGCCGGTTTGTTGTAAAAAATACAGGTCTGTAGCACATGGCCTGTACTATCTGGCAGTTTAGTCCCAAAGCTGCACAATATGTTATATAGAACTCAACGTTTCTTTGGTTGAATATTAATAGCATAAAATCATGATTTGAGTCTCACATAATGGCATGTGAACATTCCACTCACATCAATATCTGTGGGTTTGACACAACATGAATAAGGGACCCCGCAGGCCTCTGGACTTGGGTTGGAGTCTGTGCAGTTGAAATATGGATTTAGATTCCATACTTTATAACTCTCTGCACCAACCCCACAGCACTGAAACTGAAAGTAAAATGACAAAATTAATGTTTTGTAACTTACCTTAAAAAAATCAGTCTATTAATTTCATGTAACATTTCATAGTCTTTTTGAGAAAGAAAATAATCAGTCTGCCAAGCTTCTAATTCCGTATATAAAACTTGCTTAGCCATGTTTGTTAAAAGAATGTGCTGTTGAATTTTCAAAATTATTTATCAATTATTTACCAATCCCAACATTAGACAAGAAAAATTTCTATGATAAAACCTACATTCTTTTGAATCCAGTCAATAATATTCTGCAGGTCAAGGTCGTCTCTGTACCGAATTACAGCCTCATCTTTTAATACTGATGTAAGCTTAGACTTGACGTCCCTTGAGAATACAAATGCCAGGACAGCACCAGTCACTTCCAACACAAACAGGATGATAAGAAGGATGAAGAACTGAAAATATAAAATGACAAGATGTAAACCAGTGAAATACCAGTACTGCTACACAGGTTTCCCAAAATCTCTTATGTAAGGATGATAGAAAAGAGAACTTCCTGAAGAGAATATAAACATATTTTGGCCAGTAAGGCACGGCGGGGCCTGACAAGTCTGTCATGCGATCAAAGCCCTTCGAATAGTTAAAAACATGCCATCTGTACAGTCTATTCATAAATAATTCTTTTGATCTTGTAAATACAGATAACAGATAGCCTTTGATTCACATATAAATACATAAATTAAAATAAAAAATGTAGAAAGTCAAATATCAAATGCCACTGCTTTGGGTGAGGTTACTCCCCCCCCCCCCCCCCCC